CCTTCCTGGAGGATCTCATAAGAGAAACTGTCTGGAAAATACGTTACACATGGGAAAACTACAAAAATGCCCATGCAGCCAGGCTAGTTCGCTGTATTTGAACCTCGAATCGAACTGCCAATGTTCAGCAACTTTACCGCTCGGTGTTAAGATTTTTAGACTTGAAACATTGTGGAAATGCTGTCTAATGAAACAGTGGATAACTTAAAATTTATTTAGTGTGTCAGAAGAAAATTTCAGGGAACCTAAAGACCTTCAATATCAAGAATTTGCGAATGATTTTTAATAAATGCCAATGTAAATTAGAAAATCGTACTTTTCACGTTTGTAATAAGCTTCCTATTTATAATTGGTTACGAAATCTGAAGTGGTTAGCAAATTGTAGAAATTTGTTTCTAATTTAAAAATTTTAAACTTTTGCTATAACAAAACTTAAAATTTCTATCCAATCAATTCATACATCTATAAAAAATGTCCCAGTACACTGAATATCTTTAGCCTGTGGAACTCGTTGGTAATTTTCGAGAGAAACGATTGCTCGGGTTTCCCTAACGTCCGTTTCAACGATGCGTCGAAGACCACTTTTTTTACTTCGTACTTTTTCCAGGGAAAAGGGATTTATTGAAATTAATTAAATTAGTTTGTAGTTTTATTTGAGGATAATTTTAACTCTTCATATCATTTCACTGATGCATGTTTCTTTCTCAAACATTAAATCGAAGAGTTGTCGTAAACTATAAATGCCACCTTAAACCATTCTCAGATTCGCGTTTAAACATTTTGCTTAAAATTTTTCATATTCCATTCCCATAACAGTAAACTGTTTAAGAAGTGCAACTTAAAATTAGAAAACTGAATTCTCGACTGCTGGACAAAATGCCATATTTCTGAAGAAATGCCAGTTAATAAAAGAGGATAGCACTTCAAAATTCGGACCCGTTAAAATATTTAAGATAAATTTATTGAATGCAATAATAAATACAACTCTGAAAACGACCGCTAAGCTTCACAAACTCAAACACACGTGAATGACTTTTTGTATTGCCTCATTAGTATTTCTTCAGAGGGTTTACGGTTAATCTGAAAGTTCTAGCAACAATTAAGGTTTAATTTTATTATACCAGGCTACCAAGAGCTTTCCGCCCAAGGGAAAGAGTGGTTCCTTACGCGACTTTATATAAAAACTGACTTAATCACATTATACAAAGCGAAATCTTCGAAAACACGCGTGTAGCAAACCCATTCAACAGGCTTTGAGTTTTTTTTCTCTCGGTGTATCTAATTATATGAAAGCTTACCACGGGTATTTTTCTAAGGGAATGGAGGCATTTGTGGAAACTTTCTGAAGAACAACTTGTATTCAGATTTCCCACACAGAAAGTTGCGATAACTCCCATGTAACCAGCCCATTCGTATAGAAACGAAGCCAGTCGAACTACCAGAGTTCAGAGGCCTTACCTCTCGGCATCTGTCCAGCCGAATTAGTACTCGGGTCGAACTACTAGTGTTCAGCGCTATTCGCTTATCCGTGACTTAAGTTAAGGAAGAATTTTGTTAATCAACATAAAAGGAATACTCAGCAACTATTTAAATTAAACCATACATTCAAGTTTTCTTCACATTTTCATTAATACGTTCGAAGGAAATTTACAAGATTTGCTCTTACACACCCTCAAGATATTTGTAATGCCATTTCAAATGTGTAATCAGTTTATCGCAGAAATGATTGTGCAATTTATATCAATATTTTACACCGCATTATCACTGTAAATGCGCCGAGAGGATTTAAGTATGTTTAATATAATTAATTTCTGGTCATAGCAAATAAAAGCAAAGGTAATTATGAATTGGGGGCTAAAGGAAGCCATATCAACGTTGATTTTGCATTAACTTATTCCTGTAACTAAAAAAATGTTAAAGAATTTTTATATTGCAAAATTTTATAGAATTACTTGGTAACTAATATTTGCGATTTTAAACTTGGCTTTGGATGAAGGTAAATTGTTGATTAAAATTTTCTCCCGAGAACTACACAGAATTGATAAAAACTGCAAATAATGCACACAAAGATCTTTTTGCATTTGATGTTTTGCGTAGAACATGTACGTAATTTGGATAACAAGAGCACGATTGGTTATTTACAAGATCTTGAAAATATTCAAAATTTGTCCTACTGTAACTGCTTTTAAAATTCGATCAGATTAAGTTTCTATACGAAATGAATACAATACATATATAAAATAAAAAATAGGTACATGAATTAGCAATAGCTTTTATATCTTCATTTTAATTACGGTATTTTTCCTTTCTGTTCTAAAAATAACAATTGCTTATAATAGCTTTTTCTGGACTACGTAATATCTAGAGTAATCCATATATACATATCTTTTTGCATAATGCTGGTGACTTAAATTTAAATAAAACTCAAACAGAACAATTTTAAATAGGAAGTTTTACCTCAGATGGACTCCCACAAAGACATCACACTTGGAAGTGTATAAAAAGTTTGCCATCACAAATAAAAATCAAGCGTGATGTATAGAGAACATACTTTAAATACAAAAATCAGTTTTTGCAACCAAATTCTGAATATATTTGCATCTTTCCAGCAATAATAACAAAATTTCCGAACATTGATGACTATCCGCAGGACACTCCTGAATTGTTAGTTGCCGATTAATTTGATTCTTGAATGAAAATGAAACTTCAGAACAAATAATTACCAATTTATAGACAATAGCATTAAAATGTTGAGTTTACCAAAATATTATATTTATAAAACAAACTCTTGTTGGTTCCCAACCTGTAGAATGCGCTGATTATGAAGTTAAAAAAAAGAGTTTAATTTATAAATTACGTGAAAGTTACATATTTAAAAACAAATTTGGTACAAATATCATTTAGCAAAATACGAGACTTAAAAAAGTTCCCGAAATATTTAATGCACACAAATATTACGTGAAAGTTACGGATTTAAGAGTTTTTTTTTAAGAAGTAGTTTATGTATTCGACCCAAGTTTTTAAAAGTTTGGTTTAGAAACATGAAAGTTACGAATTTACGCATGCCGGCTCACGGAAAAGTAGCCCTTCTCGGGGGGATAATAAGACAAGATGTATACAATCTTTCTGACAGCGATGAACACCGAAGTCAACATGATGGGAAAATAAAGCTGGAAGCTTCACTTGGCGACATAAAAATCACCCAAGAATCAGCTTACAGCAAGAGTTTACCGCCGCATCGGTATTGAAAGCCTGCTGTGTTTTCATTTGTCACCCAGCAAATATTATAATTTCTAAAGTATTATATGGAAGTTAACTTATAGAATTCATAATTTTAAAAAACAAGGTTTTAGCTTTTGTTTAGGTTTTAGGGGAAAACCACGAAAGCGCCAATGCAGCTATCCCGCTTCACGGGATTTGAATCTCGAGCTTTATTTAATATAAACAAACATCTATATTAAACAGCATAATTATTCACATGAATACCAGTGTTCGGTGAAACAAAATAACGCTTGTAAAAGCTTTCAAAAACAAACTTTTAAAATGCTTAATTTATAAACTACTTCATGAAAGGGTACTATTCTGTTTAGAGGGCCGCAAAAAATCGCCAAACTATTGTTGATGCCAATGCTGCCAAAAATAATTGCGGCAACCCTAATAATTGCGGCAAGAAAGGAAGTATAATAGTAAATAACTATTGATATTTTAATTTAGATGAAAGGTTAATTTCATATAATATTTTTTTTATTATAATTTATATGAAAGGCTAACATGACTGAATAGAAGCATAAGAGTAAATAACTATTTCAGATCATTATTATAATTTATATAAAAATTGCTAAACATAACTGAATGGATGCCTGCATCGCTATTTCGCTACTGACTTACCGCTAAAGCATAATTTCATCTCGTTGGTTGTTCAAACGCAATTTTCTCTAATGATCAATTACTATTAGATTACGGAAAAGCACTCGAGGGCTGTTTGCCTTAAGAGAGGGATGCCTTCGTGGAGGACTTTTTAAGGGAAACTGGCTCGTATACACGTTACACATAGGGAAAACCACGAAAACACCCCATGCAGCCAGCCCGTTCGCGGGTTCGAACCTCGAACCGAACTACCAGTGTTCAGCGACGTTACCGCTCGGCCGCTGGTGGGCTTTCTTTAATGAATGATGCCTTTTCTTCGAAAATATTCTCGGTAAAGTGCAGAATAGCTCACTTATTTGTTTGCCGCTTTTTACAAGGGTAAAAACAATTGGAATTTTGTCAATTTTCTTTTACTTTTTAAGTGAAAATAGGTCGATGTATACATAGATAAAGTAAAGGGCGTGCGCAGTGCCATTTTTGTGCAATTCTAATATTTTTTTAAAGTGAAAATAGTTTGATTTGCACATGGATACCTAGTATGTGCAATTCTTAAAAACGCGTCAAGCAGTGGGTGATTCTGCACTTTACTCAAAATTCTATTGCCGAGTTTTCGTCCCAAATTGTTAAATCTAAAATCTATCTATATATATATATATAAAAAAAAAAAAAAAAAAAAAAAAAAAAAAAAAAAAAAAAAAAAGGGATTTAAAAATTAAACTAGTATTTTAATGACGTTTTAAGAAATATAGAACTACATAAACTTACTCAGTCTGAAATCAGCGCGTACGCTAGATTTGGCGCTTTTGCGCGTACATTTCCGCTGCAGTTGTTTTACGGTCCTCGAAATCGAATAGTACCCATGAAAGTTACGCTGAACATATAGGAAGTTTCAGTTATCGAACAAGGTATGTATATAAATATATTTGGAACAAGTCTTCAAATTTTACAACTTAAAAATTTTTAAAATATTTATTGTAAAACGCAACGAATAGACATTAGGTACGACTTCAACTATTTGGGCATCAAGCCATTTTTAACATTTTGATTAAATTCATTTTGATTATTCTTATGAAAATAAAGTTACTTATTATTATTATGATATCGTTAAGTTTAAAAAGCATACACATACTTACAATAGCAGAGTGTCTGAAGCAGAAAGCAAGTAATTAAAACCTAAAATACTTCAAAATCAAATGAAAGTTAAAAACAACACACACTAAAACTAGCCGGAAAAAAATCTCAGCTGCAAGTAAAGAGAGATCACCTTTGGTGTATTATATAAAATTTTCACACCTACTTCTGGTTGGTGGAATTCTCCTGCTTGTGTGATGGCTTCTTCTCATTCATTAACAACAGACTCCGCCCCCCTCAAGCGTCAAGTTTGAGGCACATTTGTTTACCGAATATTACTTAAATTGCTTAAAATTTTCAAGATTGATTATTTAATTTTAATTATCTTGAAATTTTTCAGATCACGCAGAATTTATTTACAAGATAGTTTCAGGCTTCATGTGAATATATTAGAAAAGAACTACGTAACGTAAAAGGAATGTTATGTCAGAGACTTATGTATTAAATTTTCATTTCGTTTTGCCTACCAAAGTCCGAGCTGTAATTTTGTTCAATGATGGTTCAATCCCGGGGAACGGATTGTTTGCATTGGAAATTTCGAGATGTTCCCCAGGCCTAACATGTTTTCCTAAAAAGAACTCCATGAAAGCATCCCTCCCGTAAGGGAAATACATTCCTCCTTGCAACAGACTCTCTCAGATAGCCCTCATGGGCTTTGCAATAATCCAAATAATGCAATTATTTCTGTCATAATATTTTTTTCATTGAAATTGGCGATGGTTGCATAACATAAAATTGTTCTTTGAGAAGTATAATTCTTTTAGAATTGTTATGAAAACTATCATGCCGACCACTGATATTTCAAAGGATGGCATTTTTAACAAAGGTAATTTCTTACCGTATATATTCAAAAGCACATAGTTAAACATGAAACACTGAGAGTAAAGAAAAGCCCCACCAGCGGCCGTATGGTTAAGCCCACTGACACTGGTAGATCGACATGGATTGGAAACCAAGCAAAGAGCTGACTACATGGTTAGTTTTCTCGGATTTCATCATATGCAATATACAGAGGTTTCCTAAAAACAGTCCTTTCCTAAAAATAGCAGTTTTCCTAAAAACGTTCTCCACGAAGGAATCTCTGCCCCCCTTAGGCAGTTAACCATTGTGTACTTTGCCGTATTTAAATAACCTCAACCTGAGGATGGAAACAGTGGTATAGTGATCTTCAAAACTAAAACAGTGAATTTTAAAGTAACTTTCAGTTTAAAATTGATACTAATGATTTATTTTTCATTTTAACTAAATAGCTGACAACAGACAATCAATTCTGTAATACAAGTTTTCCCCACACATAGCCAGATTCACAGCTGTCTTCTGCAAAAATTTTAAAACTTCAGTCCCATCCGCTGTGGAGTATATAGAACCTTTCAAGACAACTCGTTTGATCCGGATTCACGTCCCGTCGAAAGAGTTGGAAGTATGGGATATTTCGTTAATTTCTCCGTTAGTTAGTTTCCCATAGTAAGCGCTATCAACGAAGGAATTCGTACCCTTGAGAAAATAGCGTTTACATTTTTGGCCACAATCTAATTTATACAGTGCAAATTCAGTTAAATATTTTTCAGATATATTCTTGTAAAAAGCGACATTCGGTTAAACTAATATTAATGGAAAATTATTCTTTGGACATATTCATTGTGCTAACAAATGCATATGGATTCTTGCGGCATTTTTGCTTGAATTTTACTGATGAAATATTATTTAATTTACTTCTTTTCTTTCTGCCTGTTTTCGCCACGAGGTTCCCTCTTTTCAAAATTTATGTAGGTTTGAGGAGCCAGCAGTTTTACTATAAAAGTTAGAGATTTACTAATAAGAGTTTGAAAGTTTGGACTGCCGTCCACAGAGTTACCTCTGCCTATGTTGGTTATACTGATGCTAGTCTTGCTGCTGTGAGCATTGTAGATCGAGGTTACATTCTGGTTTGGTAAGTGTGTGTTGGAATTACTGTTGAGATCTAGGCAAGCCTGTAGTCTCTCGTTAAGTCAGATTTAAATTGTTAAATTCATATCCACTTTGAAAGGAAGCTTTGAATTTAAACCACGTCCAGACTGTCTGGGAAGTTTATATTTTTGTGTTTTAATTTAATTATTCACAAGTGATGAGACAGAATAAACTTTAAGAGATTTAATTCTGTGTTTGTTTGCTTAATGATTAGATATGCTTGTGGAAATAATTCACCTCACGGAGCATCAGCGATGCCTTATTGTTACTTTATTGGCCTAGCTAATTTATTTGGAATTTGCCGTAGGTGATTCTATTATCTAGAGGTCCATGTTTGCTGGTGTACCGTATGTTCAAAGCAGAAAACCTACCAAGTCGTATTTATGAGTGCCAGAAATAATCTGTTTCAATTAAATTTTACATTGCTTCAAGGTTAGAAAAATATTATCATATAGATAGTCTTTGGTGCCCAAGTATCTTACATGAACTAAATATCTCTTTTATAGTCACTGAATTCTCTAAGGGAAATTCAAAGAAAAATTAAAACTCCTTTATTTTGGCCCCAGTGAAATTCTGTTGTTTTCTGACTCTACACGGAGATGTTATGGAAACTCTATTTTTATGCTCCCTAATGCCATCTTGAAAATGAAAGTTTTCTTTTCTTCCTGAAGAAATCAACTAATTTCTGTTTGAAGAAATGCCCGAATATTTTGTAACAGTTTGTTGCATAAAGTCTGCAATAAATTTATTTTAAATGTTAATTTGTATGCAACTTCAGGTAATAACATATTTTAAAGAATTTTGCTTTGACACATTTTTCATCTACAGGCAGTTGCTTTTAATATTTTCAGGGAGAGGGTCAAAAACCTTCAGCTTCCTCTTAGTTTGATTGCTATATACACACTTTCCCAAACATCTACATACAATCACTGAGACACCTTTGCTGACATTTGTGCAAATACTAAAAGCAAATAAATAAATAAATGTGTTGTAATAAACTTTTAGCCCATACTTTAGGTCTAATGAAGGAAATAAACCATAGTTCGGTGGGTTTCAATGAAATTTTACAAAAACTTATAATTTGCTTGTCACAAAAATTTAAATACAGAAAGAGAAATACTTCATTTAAACAGGTCAAATTAATCAAAAATAAAGTAAATACGGTGTTATCCACTTTTTGCACATATGACTGCCGGTTAATCTGTTTAACATCTGTTATATCTTATTTGTTACCAGTTTTGTTCTAGTATAATTTCATACCATGCTTAGTTACTACCTTCAGAGTTTCTTTGTATATAATGGTATACAGACAGGTTTGCCTATCACATTCATCCCATATATGTTCTACAGAGTTTAAGTATAGCGACTGGGTTGGTGAAGACCGTTGACTAGGTTCTTTATAGAGGGATCGTTCCTTAACAATCCTAGCAAGAAGTTCTGGGCCATTATCTTGTTGAAAGACTCAGGTGCTTTATAGCCCTAATGTTTCAGTAGATAATGGTTGATTATGCAACAATGTTTTCAGATACACGAATCGATCAACAATGCAATCTTTGAAAACTAATTTACCTACTCCGGCTACTGTCACTGAGCCCCAAACCATTACACTCTCTCTCTTGTGCGTTTAACAGTTGGTATAAAATTTTCCAGTTTAATTTCTTCATGTTTACGTATCCAGATCTTTCCACGACCACGGAAGTTACTTTCATCAGTAAACACAACTTTTACCGAAAACTGAAGTCTGTATTTAGGTACTTATTTGCAAATCCTAGTCGTGTTTGTCGATTTTAAAGTGTGATCAGAGTTTCTTCTGGGAACTCTCCCATTAAATTCCGCTAGAGCTCTACGTGCAGTTTCTGATTTGACGTTTTTCCTTTTATCGTCACCATGCTGTTCAATTAGTTTTGGAGCACCTACTTTTGAATCATTTTTTTACATTTCTTGCATCGCGATGACTAGTTTTTCTTGTACTACTATTACGAGATTTATTATTTATTATGCACATTTCCTATTAACTTGCAATTTTTTAATTGGAGTCTGTACTGTTGCACTCTTTTTTCCAACAAGTTTAGCAATTTCACGTTAAAATTTCTTTGATGCCCTAATTTTACAATACGATTTTTTCACATCTAAAGAAATTTCTTTCCTTTGATTCATTTTTTTTCAACAGCAATCACCTTTGGAAAAGAGATGGAAGATTCTGACTTTCATGGTTGGTTGAGGTAAATCCAAAAGGGAAGAAAACAGCTGAATATGCAAATTTAGTTAAGAGACTTTTGTAACGTGCTGGTTTCAACAAATCTGCATATGCGTTTTGCATTTACCTTGTTTAAGATGTTATTTTGGAGGAAATAGTTTTGTATGAGTATCCTGACAGTTAATATAATTTAATAATTTAAACTCAAATAGTGTTTGGTAAACCTCTATTTTAATGGGTGTATGTATAGTTTTGTGACGGTGTATAGCTTCAGATTTCAGAAACTTCTGCAGCAATTTTGATTCGTATCTTCTCCAAAAGTACATGAATCATCTGTAATATTTATTACACTTCTGAGAATAAACAAGAAAAAAAACTTCCGTTTTCTCTGGATTTCACCGCTGTTTCAGAACATTTTTCACCAATTTGAATTTGTGTGTTTTCGAACATTATATAAATTATTATCTTCATTTGTCACACTTCTGTAAAGACGAAATTATTAAATGATATTATGCAGAATTTCTTTATTTATTTTTTTCAAAGTAACTTTTTACATGCATTTAAGCATAAATGATTCCATTTTTTATTCGATAATACTTCTGCAATATTATTTTCACAAACAGCTTCTTGTTCAGTTAGTAATGAATGTGTTAGCCTGACAAAGAAATATTACTTTATATGGTTTTGGACTCAGTAACTTTACCTAAGTTTCGCAGAACTATAAAAGATCTTAAGCGAAAGAGTACAGTGTTTAGAAAGAAGCAAAAAATTCGATTTAAACTTTTAAGTAAATTTTGTTATAAATTATTTGAATTCAGGATACTTGTAAAAGCCTGCGTTGGTGGAGCAGTTAACACGAATGCTTTGCAGATGCAAAAATACGAGGTTCCGTTCATGTATTTTCGTTATTTTATTTTCAGAAGATAATTATTCATAAAAGGTATTTTTAAAGGACTAATGTGAAAGATCAGACTAATTATCTGCT